GCTGCCTAATCGTGTTGGTCACGAAAAACGTAATAGCAGGTTTCAAGCAACATAAAGTCTTGCTTAGGGATACGGCAAATTGGGCTGCAAAAAAGCATGTTCGTGCCGAGAACGCTGGTGCATGTTGCTACCAGGTTTGTTATAAGTAGTAATGGATAAACGCGCCAGTGTACGCGAAAGATGTTTGGTGAAAACAGCAAAATCTGAACTGCTTGAAGTCGAATTTTGCCTAAATATCATGGCTCGGAATACAATGAGGCCTAAAAGTAATTTTAAACAGTCACAACATCCCTCACATAATGCAATCCACCAGGAGTACGAAATATTAAACCTGTAGTTTGGGTGGTTTTCTGCACTAATAACATTAACCTTAGTTAAGACAAGTAACCAAAAAAGAAAATAGAGGAAGATTTGAAAGCTAAATTCAGATTATCTGCTTTGCGTAGTGTGGTATTCAAACTTTTAACTCATATTTTTCCCCTCCCACTGCATGAATTAAGTCATGCCATAGAACTAAGTCAGTCAAATATTAAGAGAGGAAGATGTGAAAACTGACCTCTAACTTCGCAAACATGTTTCAAAATTTCAGTTCGCCTGTCATTCTCGCACTCCGATTAAAATATTTAAACGTACACGCAACCATGTTTTTGACAAAATGCATTTTGACTTATGAAAATGGCACATCTAATGGAATTTCTAATTTACTGAAGGAGCGATACTACCTTGCGACGAGAAACTGCCCAGGAAGAGTTCAGCAGTTCATTCTGGACGGCTTTCATGCGCTCGATTAGACGCTGTTGCTCGGGTTTACCTTTCCGCCGGAAATCTTCGAACTGTAAAACAAGGAACTCCTCAACCAAATCGGAGCTCAATGTGCTTCCTCATTTTATGAATTAGGCAAGCAATTTTCAACTGTATTAGTCATAAAACCTTTTGCTATCCAAAAAAGAATTTAAGATGAACATAAATTTGCCGCCAAACAATCCAATTCCTTCACATAATAAATGTTGCACTTTAAAACAGACAGACGCAGTAATCGAGCTGGTATTTTTCGAGTTTGTCGAAATTAAGCAAATAATGAAAGCAAAAACGGCCGTCAGGTTGACAGCTCAGAAAGCCCCTTCAAAAAAGACGTAGCTTGAAATAAAACATGTAATCAAACCTCCTTTTTTAGCCATTCGATCTGTGCATCGGCTTCTTCTTTGCGCATCTGATCTACAATTTTTTGCCGCCGCATGCTACAAATTATTATAAGTTTAGGGATTTTAAGAGACCCAACTCCTGGAAACCATAAATTTTAAAAAACTGCGGTGCCAGTAGTGTTTTATGACTTCAGTTACCTCTCCATTTTTTCTTTTTGCAACTCTGCCTCAAGACGATGGCGATTCAGTTCTTCCTGCTCCTGAGCAGTAGTTGCTTTGTCAATATCCGCGACCATTTTAATCTCTTTCTTCTCCTTCTCTAACTCTGAAAAGAAATAAGAATTAGTGGGAATCACTAGATCGATCGAAAAATAATTTGCATTACAGCCTTCATTAAAAAAAAGCTAAAACGCTGAATTAGTATACGAAAAATTTATATGTGCGTCAGTTTCTGCTACTAAAGAACTAAATTTGGTCGAGCGCTAACCTTGATGTTTATGCTGTTCCATTCGGAAGATTCGTCTCAGCTCCACCTCTTCTCGCACTGCAAATACGGGATTCAGACAGGAACACCGATAGTGCAATACCAACAAAGCAGGATAAAGCTTAGTCGACAGCGTACCGGCTGCCGGTGTGAAGATGCATTTTTTGCACAGTTTCCCCGTAGGTTTTTGTTATGCCTTTTTGCCATGCAGCGCTAGAGCACTGCAACAAACAGCAAACACGCATATTGCAACGGCCTGTGTGTGTTCGTCTGCCCAGGTATTTCAACTCGCCACCACGCATGCTTTGAAGCTGAAATTTTCCAGTGTGTTCCCCGACCAGGTGCCACCCCAGGTCCGCGGTACCAACCCTCACGCGTGTCTAGGTCCCGCGTACAACTACGTGGAAATTTTGGTGAGAAAATTGCTAACTCGGGAACGAGAAAAGCTAGAAAGCTGAAAATTTAGGAAAATGTTCCCTACCCACATATGATCAAAAAATTTCAAATGCAACTGTCTAGAACTGCCCGGGATTTAAGTATGGGCATGTGAAAGTTTTGGTGGGAAAACCGACAACTCGGGAGCGAGAAAAGCTAAAAAACTGAAACTTTACAGGAATGTTCATTACTTACACAGAGCCAAAAGATTTTAAGTTCAGTTCATTAGAACGGCCCGGGACCGACGTAGGGCACTTCAAAGTTTCGGCAGAAAAATCGCTATCGGGAACAAGAAAAGCCAGAAAGCTGAAATTTTAAAGAAATGTTCCCTACTCATGCACGACCAAAACCAGTTGTTTAGAACCGCCCGGGACCCAAGTACGGACACGCGAAAGTCTTAGCGGGGAAAACTGCTAACTCGGAAACGAGAAAAGCTGGAGCCTGGAATTTTTAGAGGATTTCTCCTACTCACGTGCGACTAAATAATTTCAAATTTAACCCTTCTAGAGGGGCCTTTT